TTTGGTTTTTCGAGACAGGGTTTCTCTGTGTAGCTTTGCGCCTTTCCTGGAGCTCACTTGGTAGCCCAGGCTGGCCTCGAACTCACAGAGATCTGCCTGCTTCTGCCTCCCGAGTGCTGGGATTAAAGGCGTGCGCCACCACCGCCCGGCAGTTGTAATCTTTTTATGGCAACTGTTTATTTTCCTTCATATTCATCATAGGAAATTGCCTCTATGAGAAGGGCTGAGCTGTGTAACCACGATGTATTATTTCTTTTGTTGAATGAGATTTCTTAGAATTAGGATCATCTCTATTCTTCTCTTTAAAATCCTATTCTGTTACTTTAAAGCCTCATTAAGTCACATTACCAAATATTGAAATTTGTGAGGACTTTGAAGATTGGCTAAAATAAAACTTCAACTGGCTATTTATGTTGGTATTAAAACACTTTAAATGAATACAAACTGAACTCCTAGAAAAGAAATATGTAGTCTGCTGTGAAGATGTGAGGTTTAATATTAGTGTTGAATAAATCTAAGTGGGACTTACTCTTTCTTAATTACTTCTGAGTTACATACCTACATGTTTAGAGAGAGTTTATTTAATGATTTGCTTTCTGCGTTGGGTTGTTTTCCTGATTCTTGTCTGGTGAGATATTTTTCAGTGAGAGAATATGTTTGTTAGAAAGAGATTTTCAGATTAGTTCAGTTGTGAATATGTTTGTGGCCCAACTCATTTGGAAACATGAGATTTCGTGGAATAGATGTGAGTATGCTATTTGTGAAAAGTGGCTCAGTCATTCTCATATGTGCCAGTAGCTGTATTGAAGTGGTTGGCGTTTGAGAAATCGCCTACTCTCTTCCAAAACAAAAATAAAAATATTATAGCATAACAGGCCCTGTGTGGGCATTAAACATGTGTGGTTTGAAATCATGTATTTCTCTTTGTGACATCAGAATGTTTAACTTCAGCTTTCTGATGCAAGAGCTGCTGTGGAGAGCAGCTGCTTGCTTTCCATGGAGAAACTGTGTTTTTTGTTTTTGTTGTTGTTGTTGTTGTTGTTATTGTTTTGATATCAGATGCTGTTTGCTAGTGTGTGGAGACCGGGTGGGATGCAGTTATTAAAAAGACAATGATTGTGAGAGCCCAGAACGGTTACCTCTCATTCACTCACTTGCTACACGACTTCACAGCTTCCTCTAACAGTACACTCCAATACCTGACATGGACAGTGTGTGAAAAACCCTCCAGGTTCTAGAAAGTGCCTCAGCATGTAGTTCCCAATAGGGCATGGGGGCTCAGGTTATAAACTGGGTACTGTTTATGCCATGTCTGTAGCCTGGTAGCTATCAAGTAGCCAGCAGTTAAACATTGTTTCTCTAATGGCAGACACAGCTCAGGAACACAGTAAAAAGCAGAACTTGAGAAGTTATGAACCCACCACTTTCCACCTGTCCCTTAGTTATGAGAACCATCTACAATGCTTATGAAAACTTACAAATGTCTGTCTTGGTTATTTTCTTTGACTTAGGCAGGCAGTGGTAACAAGGTTAATAGAACACTTTTATTCATATTTAAAAGCAGAAGCTTAGTAGCTTTTAGAAAGAAGAACCATTATTTTTGCCTTTATTTTAATTAATTTCAAAATAAATAAAGTATTCCTCATCCTATTTATAAATATTCTTTTGTTTGTTTTGTTTTGTTTTTTGAGACAGGGTCTCTCTATATCACATTGTGTGTCCTGGATCTCATTATATAGATCAGGCTGGCCTTGAACTCACAGAGATCCACCTCCCACGTGCTAGAACAAAGGTGTTATTATGCCCAACTATATTTACAAATAATCTTATAGAAGACATTCCAAATTGTACACAATTTATCTTACAACTGTTTGTCTACACATGAAGTTGTTTAGTGAAGCAATGTAGTTAATTCTCATTGATTTTGGGGGCCTAATGATGTTTGCAATGATTCTTGTTCTATTGCCTTGGGACATGGCTGGCCTGGGGAAGGGTAGAGTCCCTAGCAGTGATCAGTGAAACTAACTGTCTTGCATGGGAATTAAATCCTTGGAATAAATCTCATTACTTCCAAGCCCTAACGAGTAAAACTAATTGGATACAGGTGACTGCATGTAATTCCTCTTAATTGTATTTTTAAACAAAAAACTTGCACAATGAAAACCAAACCAAAATAACAACAACAGCAAAAGCAAACAAACAAACAAAAAAAACCTCTTGAGTTTTAAAAAGCCAAATTGCAGTTTGTGGGCTTGGGCTGGTCTTGTTTTCATATGTTTATTCATTAACAACCACATCCACACTGTAAAGCCCTGTAATTATGCAACCAAAAAAAAAATGGATTTTTAAAGAACTATCTCCCGCTGAAGAGAACATAAAACATTTATACATTTGAAGTAGAAGAAAGGAAGACTGATGACTGGAAGCAGGTTTATCTAGAGACAATGCTGTTCGAGTCTTCTCTGGGCCCTTCTCCTTTCTGTTTGGGAGTGAGGCCTGAGGTGTTACCCAGGCCTCTTGTCACGCTGCCTCTGACCATCAGTCTAGGTTAAAGCTAGCCCCCGTGGAGTAAGGGAATGGGGAGCCTCCGAACAAGACCAAGTCCACTCAGGCCTTGGCTAGGCCTGGCAGCTGTGCCTGCTCCTCCACAGACCCACAGAGAGAGAGGACTGAGGGTGGCAGGGGAGGTAGGGCAGAACCCTCTGGGAGACTCAGGAGGATGCAGTGCTGTATGACCTCAAGAGACAGCGCCCCAGCTAGGAACTGGGCTGGGCCCATGTATAGGGGAGACAGCAGATTACAAGAGAAGCTGAAGGAGATACAGTCTGAGTACCAAGGGAAGACATTCTGCACAGTAGTGGCATGGAATCTTGGGTTTGATGCCTCTAGATGCCCCGAGAAGGAAGACTCATAAGTAGCTGTTGGCTTTAGCTGTTTTCAGTTAGTAGAAATACAATGACTAGTTATTGTGGAGCACAGAAAGTACACGGCTAGGCACTAGAAATACACATTATATGAAAGGAGCTGTATCTAATGTTCTCTCACACTACCTAATTTTAGAACATTGGGCTAATGCTCTAAAACCTTGAAAGGTAAATGCTGAGTCTCAGACAGGGTGTGGCTCTATGTAGCCTTTGTTAGCCTGGATACATTGTCTAGCCCAGGCTGGTATTAAACCTGGAACTCTTCCCACTCATCGCTCCAGTTGTGCGCAGGTACCTTCCCCTTCCACACAACCTTTACGACTTTCTGTTGTCATCCAAGCAGTAAACATGAACTTACTTCAGCACACTGCTGAGCCTGGAGTATAGAGCTGTTGAGTGTGGACACACACTATAGTGCAGGTCTCTGAGCTTGTGTCTTGTTTCACTGCCATGTCATTGTGACCACTGTCTTGAGCTCCAAACCTGTGACGTTTTCAACTCTGGAAGCTTCTGTCCCCCACTCGTCAGTGTATTATTTCAGATGCTTTATGTATGTCTAGCCATGCAGTATCTGTAGTTGTGTGTATGACTTACTCCATTTAGTAAATACCACAAGTCCAAGCCATGTTACTTCAGTTTTATCAACCTTTGCTTCAGTCCTAAAAGCAGCTTACCTCCAGTTATCAGGTTTTGTTTTGATGAACAGTAAAAAAACATACAAATTTTCTATCGTGAAAGCAAAGAATGATAATCAGTATGATAGTGGGTAGGAAGAAAAAAAATAAAAGTATCTGTACTTATTTCTTCCTAAGAAGCAAAGAGCCTCATTAAGTCTGCATATTGATTCTCCCCTTTGAGACAATAGAGAATATTATTCACTCGCCTGCAGTTACTTGTTCAGGTGAGTGTAAGCTTGATACACAAAGCTTCTTTTCTTTGAAAGTTAATATTAAATAATGATTTTTTTCTTATTAATTAAATTTATTCTTTATTTTTACATTCCAAAGGCAGTTCCCCCTTCCTCCTCCCCTCCCACTCCTCTTCTGTTTCTGTTCAGAAAGGGGCAGGCCTCCCATGGGTGTCACCAAACCATGGTATATCAGGTTGAGGTAGGACTAAGCTCCTTTTCTTGCATTTAGGCTGGGCAAGGCAACCAGTATAAGGAATAGGTTCCTGGAAGCCAGCCAAAGCCTTAGGGACAGGTCCTGCTTCCTCCACTAGGAGTCCCACAAGTAGATAAAGCTACACAACTTCCACACATATGTAGAGGGCCTAGGTAGGTCCCTTGCAGACTCCCTAGCTGTTGGGTCCAGAGTCTGTGAACTCCTATGAACCCAGGTTAATTGCTTCTGTGGGTTCCTTTGTGATGACTTTGACCCCCACCCCCTGGCTTGTACAATCTTTCTTCCCTCTCTCCAAGAGGATTCCTCAAGCTCGACCCAATGTTTGGCTGTGGATCTCTACATCTATTTCCATCAATCACTGGAGGAAGGCTCTCTGATGACAATTCGGTAGTTACCAATCTGAATACAGAGATGGCCAGTTTAGGCTACCTGTCCATTATTACTAGGAGTCTTAGGGTCATCCTTACAGAGTTGTGGGATTTTCCCTTGCACCAGGTTTCTACCTGACCCCAAAATGTACCCCCATCAGGAGGTACGTCTCTTTCAGTACTCTCCCCCTTTATCCAAAAGAACCAGCTCTTAGATGGATTCTACTTATTGTTAGTTAAGTTAATTTATAAAATGAATTTCTGCCGTAATTCTTACTAGTTAATACTTCGTGGTTTGGAAGATTCTTGTTTTTCTTTGACACTGAAAGAAACCTATAGACTCAATGAAATCCTTATCAAAATATCAATGGCTTACAACATAAAACTAGTAAAATCATTCCTAACATTTATATGAAAATATATAGCTAAAGCTACCCAGGGCAAAAAGGGCAATAACAGAGATAGCAAAATAACCAATCTCAAATTGTACTTCAGAGCCACAGTAGCAAATCA